GTGGAGGACAGAATGGTGGTAGTTGGGATGGTGGTCGATGTGGTAGAGACCACTTCAGAGGTGACAGGTGATGTTGATGGTGCAGTAGAAAGGGTTGTGGTTGTTTGCTTTTCTGTTGTTACTCCTGTGGTGGACAGAAGGGTGGTGGTTGGGATGGTGGTCGATGTGGTAGAGACCACTTCAGAGGTGACAGGTGATGTTGGTGGTGCAGTAGAAAGGGTTGTGGTTGTTTGCTTTTCTGTTGTTACTCCTGTGGAGGTGGACAGAAAGGTGGTTGTTCGGATGGTGGTCAATGTGGTTGAGACCACTTCGGAGGTGACAGGTGATATTGATGGTGCAGTAGAAAGGGTTGTGGTTGTTTCTGTTCCCGTTGTTACTCCTGTGGTTGTGGATAGAACAGTGGTGGTTGGAATGGTGGTTGATATTAGGTGTGGTGGGAAGGATCCACTGTATGTTGTGGATGTGTAGGGAGTTTTAGAAGATATTGTTTTGGATGTTGGTTCTGTTGTGACTGTTGTATACTTTCCTGGTTGGCAATGGCTGTAATCACAACAGTTGAATCTCACCTCGTAGTTGATACATTTGTTTGGTTTCTTCGTCTGCTCTGAATGTTGGCACACTAATCCAACCTTTACATTGCACTGGATATGTTGCTGAGGCGCACGATTGTTTGTGTGTGCATAGTCCTTTGCCTGGCATTCGATGCCTTGGGGATTCTCACAAACCTGTCCACGTGCTCGTATGTTTGCATAGAGCTCGAAATCACCATCTGGGCTAGTGTTTGGATTGTGGTCATCAAACCATTGGGTCCAGTTGCATTTAGGATGGCAAATTGTAGTAGTAGGCTCCATTGAAGTTAATGTGGAAGGCTGGGAGGTATGGGTTGTAGTCACAAGAACAACTCTAGTGCTAGATGGAGGTATATAACGGAGTGATGTTGTTTCAGGGAGTGGTGTTGTTGCTGCAGTGGTGGTAGGAACAGGTGTTGATATTGTGGGACCGCATGGTTCAAAATTGCAGCAGGAGAATCTGACCTCATAATTGTAACACACTGGTGGAAACTGATCATTGTTATTGCAGATCAAACCATCAGCTGTGGTGCATATTACATGTTGATTGAGAGAATGCAATGTTTGACTGGGAAATTCTTTTGCTCTGCATGCTACTTCATCTGGATTTTTGCAAAGATGATGTCCTCTGGCTCTTATGTTTTCTGGAGTTTCATAATCTCCATTAGTTGGTCCATATGATGGGTAGCTAACATCAAACCATTCTGTCCAGTTACAAACTTTACGCACACACATCGTTGTTCCTGTTGGGGTTGATTCTGTAACATAAAACATATTGTTTTAATGATGTTTATTGGAAAAACCCCTGCTTTTGAGGAGCAGATCTCTTTTGCACATGATCTAATTTATTCTCTAAATGGAGATACCTTTTTTAAAAAACAGTATTTTTTCATGATGCTTGTAGCTTTAAGGAAACAAAATAGAAAATCTGTTTATGTATATCTCTTTTATGTTAGAAGTAGGGTTGTGGGTCATGTAACAAAGCACAAGCCACTCTTGCAGTTCTCATAGTCATATTTTCCTTTGCTTTAGAAAAGACATACTTAAACTGTTTAATTATATGTCTTGTTTATAAATATCTATATTGACAATGTCATATTTGCAAAATCAGATAATAAAATAAAGAGAGTGATATTAATTAAGGAAGTCTATTGTGGTAGGGATTGAATAGAAGAGTTCTTGCAAGAAGGGAGGAGTGGGTAGCAATGTAAATTGCTTGTGTTGCCTATGCTTCCGAATTTGGCATGTTCAGTGAAAAACTCTAACAACAATTTCAGAGATGGTTCCCTGATTCTCTCCAGATACGTTGAAACTATATTTTCCAACACATCTGGAAGGTGCTAGGCTGGGAATATCTTAGGAATTTGTTTTTTTATATATTTGTTGATACTTTTATAAATAGTCTAGCATTATGTATCATTGCGTTATCCATATATTATTCATTACATATGTCCTTTTACATTTTTTTTTAGTTACCATAGAAGAAAT